TCAACATTTCTAGGCATAGCTTATTTTGTGAAATATTTAATTGTAAACTATTTTTATATTCAGCTTTTTAACATACGATTAGATTTAAGTTGGAGTCACAATAAAAAACCGTCACGTCGTAACACATTATTTTTCCAAATACTGAACCAGTTTGCAGTGTGCCAACTTTCACGTCAACTCGGTATTCTAGATTCAGGTTCGCTTCAACCAGAGGCATATAGTAGGGGGAATAATTCAAAAATACATAAAGATAAGGTTTTGTTATACCAGGAAACTTACAGAGTTTTTGCAAGTCAACTCATATATGAAGATGTCGGCCTTCTTATCACGAATATGAAGCGCCTACGTGGATAGAAATGCCTTTTAAACGACGTAATCACGCTGGCCAATAAGGACTACAGATATATAGAGCTCGTAAGAATTTCATAAATTATTATTTTATTAAACATATGTAGACTAAAATCAGTTTACTCTATCTTTCATTGGTGCAAATTGGTCCGTTGAAATTTTGTTACAAAACCAATAGTTGTTTATTATTAATCACAAAGGGCTATCTGTGCTTTTCCCACCACGGGTATCGAAACCCGGTTTCTAGCGGTACAAGTCCGCAGACATACCGCTGTGCCACTGGGGGGGGGGGGGGCAAAACCAATAGTGTGATGTCGTTGTTTTCACGTTTCAATAGAATTACAACCCTTAAGTTTGCTGGATGTTATTGTAAAGTTAATCAATTTTCAAACAACCACGTGTATGTTTTACTTTAATTTGATTAAATGTGTTTAGTTAATTCAAACGAATAAATTATTTAGACTGCAGCGTTTTATGTAAATAGTGGTTGAAAGTTTTTATTCAAAAATTTAATTGCTGATAATAGAGACCATTTAGCAATCTGTTTATAAGTCTTTGTGGTATTTTCATGTAAAACTGATTTCCTTTAAGAGCGACAAGATAGTTCTGCCGGATAACGACAAATTGGTCAAGGTAAATAATATAAAGTATTCTATATTTTCCGAGTTTTAACTGAATTTCTGAGAAATAATGAGACTAGACACAAATGACAAAAAAAAAAAAAATACAATAAACAACATTTATCAAAACACAATCGCAGTGTGTGTGCTTGCCCTTTAACCCCAAAGACAAATGATTTTACTGGAGAACTTGATTTTACAATCAAGTTTCTGTCTAAAGTGTATTTGACAAAAAAACTTCAACCAGACAGTTAAAATAACATATCACATAGTTTGAATGGCAACACCACGCTTTCCTGTCTTCTGGTGGTATAGCGTTAAATTTCTGGACTTACAACGCTAACATATGAGGTTCGATCACCCGCAGTAGACAGACTAATGTGGGTTTATTCTAAAACAAATCACTCTTTCCGAGAGCGACTTGCGCCATCCGCGTGACTGGAGAGTCCCATTTGAAAATAAGTGAAATTGCAACTCCAATGCACCACCTAACCTATTATTGAAGAATACTGCTTGCTGTCCACTTCCATATATAAGGTGCGATTTTACAGCTATTTCTCCCACAAGCAGACCAAGTGTTATCTTAGAAGAACGACACAGAATAATAAATAGCTAGAGCAAAAGTAACTTTACGACTTTCTTGACCACCTGTTAGATGAAAACTGTTTATCTAACTGAAAATTTTTGAAAATTCTATGTTAAAATAATTGTGTGTTTTAAAACAAAGCCACGTTGATCTATTTACTGTGTCCACCGCGGGAAATCGAACACCGGATTTTAGCGTTAAGTCCGTAGATTCATCGCTGTCTCATGGAAACATTTTAAAAATAAGAAGGTAGACAACGCATGATATGCCTCTATACCACACCTATATAGAAATTGCGTTTACTAACGGATAAAATTCATGATTTTGTTTCTTTGTAGTTAAGCACAAAGCTTCACAATGGGCTATCTGTGCTCTGCCCACCACGGGTATCGGAACCCGGTTTCTAGCGTTGTAAGTCCGCAAACATACCGCTGTGCCACTGGGGGTCAAAATTCATGATACAACATACATATTTTACGGGGAAAAACATACAATAGAAGGTGTAAAACTTACTTTCAAAAATAAAAAGTTTTCCCCAACTATGCACATAATATATTTTTATGAATAAATTACCATAATTAAAGTTACATTTATACTCTGGAAAAGATAGAATAGTCAAAGTTCAAATACTATTTACGATTCTTATAATAATATAATAGCGCAAAATATTACTTTTCACATAAAGTTTTAATTCGAAAAATATCCTATCTTTGACTGTTCTGTTCCTTCCTCCCAAAGTATAAAAGCGTAAGATATACAGCGAAAATAAACTTTCATATCGTTGTAAAAATTAAATTAACTGCAGAGGTTTTATATTATTTTTCACATTCCTCTTAATTAATATGTCCATTGCACCTCGCCCCTCAATGACTCAGCGGTAAGTCTGAAGGTTTATAACGCGAAAAACCGGGTTTCGATACAGGTAGCCCATTGTGTAGCTTTGCACTTAAAAACAAACCATTTCGCCTCAAAATCAGAGGTGTGTAAAAATAGCATTTCAGATCTATCTTTTTTTCCCCCCAAAGTCGCTGCACAAGAAACTTTTTATTCAATATCAAAACGCATCAGTTGGGCATTTATGCATAAACACTACATTAATTCACGCTGTGTCTGTGAATTTGTTTGATTGTTCGCGAACTCTTTCCGTAGCTCTGGAGCAAGTATGACTAAATTTGGCAGGCATAGCCCCCCCCCCCCCTCCTCACCAAGAGAGGCTAAAATGCACCTGGAAGATCACAGGGGCATGATGGAATTCGAAACTCTGAACTTAAATGCATCAGAGTTTGTGTCCCTTCTCCCCTCAAGGTGCCAAGGACACCATGCATGTTTGAAATTGTGTTTATATCTCTAGTCATAAGCTAGCAGGATTAAACGTGGAACACATTATCAGATGCCACGAGCAGGTACACTAATGTGGTTTGTTTCAGGTAGTTCCCCCTCCTTGGGGGAACTACAGAAGTAATTGGGGATAATTGAGAAGTTTGATCGATCATGAGGGTCTGTGAATCATAAGATGGCCTTTAAACCAATCAATGGAACGTGGATATTTTATGTTAGTGTTAATAACTTTTTAGTTAAATCTATCCCATGCTGATCCGGCACATAAGATCAGTGCTGAAATCCGGTTTCAATGGCATAAGCGGATGAGAATTACAATAACACGTTCTCCCTGGACGATATTCCAGTTCGTTAAAGGGTCCTAGCTATCCGCTGGTACCTATTATACAATTTGGAAGACTGAAACAATTGAGGTAATGTGTTCAAGAACACAACAACATGACGCGACAAAGCCTCGTAGTCACAACCTTCCCAACCGCCTTGAGCCACGTTGCCCCCACCTCCCATTGTTTTTTTATAATAATTAATATATGTATATTATTGTTTTGACATTAAATACTGAAACTTTTCTCGATAACTTTATTTTTAATACCAGATATTACTGCAAATGTGAAACTATGCAGCATTTTTCGTGAAAGCGTATAACGAATACACAAAATCCATGAATCTCGAAGCTACAGAACTGTCTTTACATATTAATTATTATTATTACACAGAGCCTTTACATATTAATTGCACACAATATAAAATCCTTACTTTGCTTTTGATCAGAGCATTTAAGTGTTGTAGACATATTTTCCATTAAGTGACTTAAATTTGGGAAAACTCTTAATTATGTTTTAATCTAATACGTCCACGAGGATTCCTAAATATTGTTACGACAGCGGAAGTCACGTGACTCTAGTAACACGTCATGAGATTCTAGAAGGATCATGACTGTTCGTGGCAACTCTAGTGTTTGCCAGACGCCCTCTATTTTTGTATATAAGCCCAGCAAATAAAGCAGAGATGATTCACAGATAGGGAGATATGGAGACAAATAATTGAGTCAAGTGAGCGTAGTGACCGTAAGTAAAGTGCGTGAATCGTTGTGAATTATAGCGTGTGTTTAAGTAAAGTGACTGTGGAAATTAAGTGTATTGCAAAGTTGTATTGAGAAAGAATAAACTAGTTTTATTTAAGAAAGGACTTGTATCGCTGAAGTTCTTCGGAAAGAATTTATACCGGAAATTAACAAACGGCCAGAGACGTAACAATATCTATAACTTATGTAAAAAAATGGGGTAACATTTTAAAACCGTGTTTAAGTGTGGGAAATTTGTTAAACAGTGTATTACAGCATTGTCATTAAAAGGTTTTTCTAAGAGACAGAGCCACATAACAAAACCAAAAACAATCAAATTGTAATCCGATATTACATAAAAGTAAATGTGTGATATTTGGAATAAATCTATAATTGAAATACGTATACATCAAATAACATATTTTGTTTTAACCATCATATTTCATAAAGCAACAACAAAAAAATACTAAGCACCGTTAGTTTAACCTTCCACTTACAACATCAGGTTTATTAGATTTATAATGTGCGTAACTGTTTTCTTATGCGATCTTTAATCCAAGAAAAACTAAATATAGAACAATTTATTTTCAATTCAGTTAACATTTTTTTTTTTTAATATCTCAAACTGAATTATTAGTTAACATGTATAGACAAATTAGATTTAATTATGTAATTAGCAAAAAATGAATGAGAACAACTGAAGACAGAAAATCTCATGCAGACCGCATAAAAATGCTTTTAAACCCCTTGTATGGGCAATTTCTTTGCAGCTTCAGATAAACCAAAAATGGTTCACGTGTATTTTTTAAGTTATAAGAAATATATCAAACTAAAACTTTTTATACTGCTTAAAGTAATTTTATGAAAGTTAGTAAGAAAAAATCTTTTTCGCATATCCAGGGTTAAATAGCTTGAAAATTATTATATTTCCATTTCCCATAAAAAATTTTATACCACGTTGTAAATTTTTATTCATGGCTTTTTGTGACGTCTACCAGATGTCGTACTAAGTGCCAAAACACAACATCCGGGTGCCATCATTGAATACTAACTATGGCTTCGTGGAAATCCGAAAAGGGCCGAAAGTGGGTAAATTAAAATATGGCTAAGGTCCTAAGCCTAATAAAGTTTTTGGAATTCTACGTAATGCATGTAAGTGTATTTTCGTATGTGTTTGTTTGAGAGAGCGTATATAATATTTTACACACAGCGTAAACAATGCATACTGTACAATTAAAACCCAGAAACACTATAACTTTAAGAAGTTGTTTCTTACTGGAGAATAGTATTAGTAGAACATAGAAGTTATAACTAGTAACAGTAATTTATCAGTACCACTGCCGGAGTCTTGACCATTATAATATAAATTATGAATCCATTTTATTTATAAATTAAAATTTATCATTTCTTTACCTTTAGTGTTAAGCATTGAGGTAAAGGAAATCGTTAAAATGGAAAATCCTTAAGTTTAACTTAAAGATGATTGCAATTAAAAGTTATATTGCACTATCCCTGGGTTTTTCAATGTGTTATGTTATTGTGTTAAGTTAGTGTTAGTACAGTGTTAAGACTAAGCTCAGATGTCATTATCATATTGTTTTATATCAGTATGACAAAAAAGTTGGTAAATAGAAATTTTTCTAACATTTTGCTGGAAACAAAGTGAGTGTAACATTAGAATAGAAGCTAACTCAATACACCAAACATTTGTGATAAAATTAAATTAAAAATCACTTAACTTGCCTTTTAGTTTTACTGAAACAAACGATAGATATGAAATCTTATTTTTTACATACCTCTGATTTTGAACCTAAAATGAAAAAATTAATACAAATATGGAAAAAAACTGCAGTGTATATGATTTTTTAACACGAGTGTTAGACATGTTGGTTTGCAAGTCATAACTTTTAAAGCATTGATTATTAATTAAATGTATAAAAGTTTGTGAATCTCAAGCATATTCCAAGACATTACACTGTCATAACACCAGTTTTATCTAAATTAGATTTAAGTTGCCTAAGGTGTAACATATATCAAGATGAACTCAAAACAAAGTACTTCTATGCCTTGAACTGTTCATTACATTAACAGTAATGCAAGTTTCTGTAAGTTTTTCTTGTACATAATTTCCAAAAATGCCAGTGTGATTTTAATACTAATTGAAAAGGTTATGTAAAATCTATTAACTCTTTTTCTTTTGTTGTTTTAAGTGCTATTAAAACTAATATATGGGTGTTATACACTACTGAAGTAGTCTGTACTCTTAATGTATGGAAAAATATTTAAAACTACTATTATAGGTCTGATATGGCATAAGTCTGCTCTTTCTTGAAGTTTAAACAAGCAACAAACCACTTTCTTTCAAATGAAATTCACTATTTAAAGTCTAGGATGTTTGGCTGGTTGGGGTTTATTGGCACAAAACAACATGACTAACTGTGTCAAACAATCACAAAAAAGTAAAAGATAAAAACTAAAAAGGAAATAACCTAAACAATGTCCATAAATCAGATAAAAAATTAAATATAGGTAAAAAGGCCAATGGCCCATAAAAAACTTAAAATAGTCTAGGATGAAAAAAATGATATCCAAATTCATTGAATAAGATAAAGTTTTTGTATATTTTAAAACTACATGTATTACTTTTAAGGTTCCTGAGAGTAAAAAAAAAATGTTTGTTGGTAAGTAAATTTAGGGTTGCTATCAAATTCTATATTGTAATAGAACATATGGCAATGATATGGTTGCTTCTCACTGGTCTAATAGTTAGACCCTGTTGTAATTGATTCACACACTGCATGAATCACTCGAAACATTACCATTTGCCAATTTTGTTCAAGAATGTGTAGCACACCTTTTCATGTGTTGCTAGATTGTGTATAATAATATCAAGTAATTGTTACAGCCATTCTTTACTACGTTAACATATAATATTCAGTTCTAAGTTATTTATTTGCCATTCCAGAATGATTGCAAGATTCATTTTGTACTTAAATTATGATTTAGAGTAGTAGTTACTTGTTTAACCATACAAGTGAAAAAAATAAGTTCTTGCTTAGTTCTGTCTTTTTGCTATTGACAAATATTTTATATGCAAAATACAGACAAAAAAAATCACAAACTTGGTACTTCCATTATGGTATGTTTATTTGTATTATTCCATTTGCACAATGCTCTGGACATCATTTGACCTTGTAAATCATAGCCTGTTTATGGAATGTGCATTTTTTTATCAGCATGCTGTTTTGATTGACATCTAATAATAGTTAATTGCAGTTATTAGATATTGCTTTTGCAGAAAGTCAATTAACTGTGATTATAGTAAATGGTTTGTTCAATAATTAAAATGTTATTTCTGAATGAATGTGTTAAAGCAATTTGCTTTTTATCACCTATAAAAAACGAAATATAAGGAGACAGAGCTTTTGGGACAAGTGAACATTAGAATTGAGCAAGAAAAAAGTGACACTAACTTGTTCTACAAGATAAGTTTTCAAAAAAGTTGGTGTCTAGTTTTGCACACAAGTTAAACTAACAGTAATAGCACAGTCTATCTCAACCAGCTGATTTTAAAAATAGGATTGGTGTTGGCAATCTTGCAGGTATTGGAAAGATCTCAGTGCCAAACAATTTTTAAAAGATACATTCAAAGCCTCCAACTTTTTGTGATAAGTTTAATTATAACTATTTCGTTTTGAGATTAGCTTTTAAATCACTTTTTTTAAAAATAAATTTTAAGTTGTGGTGAGGTTATGAATTCTTGCTGGTTTAGCAAAAAAAAGTAAACATTCTTAATTAGTTTTAGTACTTAACTAAAATTAAAAAGCATACTCTTAACACGGTGTAAAATAAAAAGAATAAGATATAACATAACTAATTACGTGTATATATTGTTTATATCTTCTAAAATCACAATATTCTATATATTAGTTTATTACTTAGGACATTCACACAGTATGAACATCTGTACTATATTAGTATTACTATTAGTATAGATTTCAACCCCGAGTTTTTGTTAGCTTTTACCTAACTAGGCTTACCACTGAACAAATTTAACAGTCGTTTTAGACTACCAGAAATTCTCTCGGACAACCAAATGCTGTAAAATTTAGTGACCAAATTATTTCAGACTTCTAAACTGTACATACTGCCTTGCGCAAGCATTTCAGCGTTGGACCAGGGATATGTAATGGAAAGCAAGCAGTGCGAGAATATTATACCGTGTTATTTTCATGTTTGTATTCAACGGCTCGCCGGGTCACATCAACTTCCGAACATACACACGTTGTACTTCAAACCTCAAACATGTGCACACCATGGAAGAAATTTCCACATTCGTAACATCCCTTTTCAAAATGCAACTTGCCGTGTGCGATAGCTCAACCAATCGCAACTGATTATTGCTCCGCTTACTGTATGGTAAGTTTTCATTGGCAATGGTTGACGGATCCACTGGAGGGGTGAAAAAATTATCAATGTCTTTCAGTTGAAATATATTGATACGGCTGCTGAGAAGAAATGTCTCCAGTATTGAGTGCCCCAGTGTTATTTTACAGTGCTCCGAATCCCCAGTTGGTGTCTTGAAAAATCAGAATAGAAAACCATAATCAATATCATTTTGAAACGCCGATATTTCCCGCGCCTATAGCCCCGAATCTTTTAAGCACCCAGCGACGCCTTTGATTAACATAAAACAAACGTGGATTATTTGAGTGCACAGAAAGTTGAGTTTGTTTTGGCGCGAAATAATTACTACTATGGAAAATCTGTATGTGTTACGGTAGCGACTAACGAAATCCTTGCTTTAATCCTTGACCTACAAGAATTATATAATACGAATGGATATATCATGCATGAAAATATAAACGAGCGAAACAACTGTTACTTTGCAGGGTCTTTCAGACGTAAACAAAGCCTCATTCATTGTGTACAATAGGCTAATGTACCCTTGTTAAACTCGGAGTATTGTTTACGATAGTAGGGAAGTAAGTTATCTGAACATTTGGTACACAACATTCAACAAATTATTACGTTGTTTTTTGAGGGGTTATGGTAGTGATCCCTCTACTGTATTCCGCCATTTTACCTGAGCTATTTTGTTTAAGGTAATAATTTAAATTGTCAAAATAAAACAGAACATTTGTATCAGTGTTGTTTTTGTCACCGAATGTTAATGAGCGTTTTACGGTATTTCCGACGTGTAGGCCTAAATTGTTTGATGAGGCATGAGCACACAACGTTGTGTTAACTGTCACTGAAATTGGTAGAATGCACTGCAAATATAAACTTACGAGTTGCATGTGTTTTAACATTATAGTGAGCGATTTTGTTTTACTTATGAAAGGACAACTTTTTTTTAGCACAATAACCAAAACCTGGTTAACTGATTTTGTCTTTAAAAATGTCTGTTCATAGCTATAATGTTACTGCTTAGCAAGCTTTCTACATTCCAATTTCCACAAAACACTTTCCTTTGACATACAAACTTGTCATGCCTCCAAAATTTTTGTTAAATACTGTGTGAGTTGAAATGTGCAATAAAAAAGTTTTATGTATTTAATTTTATATATAGAAATGTTCTAATTACACTTTGGTTAATTTTAAGATGCTACTAATGACTTGTGAATTTCTGATTTTTTTTACCATAATCTGGAAGGAAAGTCAAAATAGTTTTTAACAAAATGAGCCAATTTCAACAGGTATCTGGATGATTAGACACCTAAAATATTGAGGAAGTAGGACATTTGGACACGTAATAATTTTAGAGGGGTGTTAAAACTTTGCAACATACTTAAAATATATATGATGGAGTAAATTAAACTTGGTAATGTCATTGGCCTAGTTCTGTACAGTTCATATAATGGAGTAAAGGACAGGTTTGAATTCACATGTTCAGTTTTCTAACCATTTGCATTCATGATAGCATGGAAACTAAACAATTTCCTTTTTAATGATGTCATTGATGACCAGAGAAATGGATCCCTACTGGGTCCAACGATAGACAATACTTTTGTATGCTGTCATATAATGAAGTAAAATAACCAATAATGTATTAGGCCTAAATATATACATGTCATATATATGCTTATATCTGTTGTAATTATTGTTTTATTTTATAATAAACAGGTGGTGTCTAAATGTCCTACTTCATCATTTTCTTTAGGATTCAACCTTATAACTTCAACATCAATGAAGTTTTATGGATTTTAGCCAACTAATATTTTTCAACCTTGGTTGTCATGCTGTGATGTAATTGCCTGTCACTCAGCTTTGGGAAGTTACAGGTTAGAGATCTAAATAACCTAATGAAAAGCCCTTTTGTTGTTTTTAACTGTGTAAGCCAATATGGCTTCCAGTTAGACATGTAGAGAGTAGAACGAAGTGATGGAAGTTTAGCTTGGTAATTTGTTGTTGGAAGAAAAGATGTTTGGGAGCAACTTCTATCACAATTACAGCCTTGATTTTTATTTTATTTTTTCAAAGTTTGCTTTATCATTTTATACTTCATTTGAATTTTGATGTTGAAATGTGGAAGAAAATGAATGATTTTATGGAATAAGGTGAGGTGGTATAGAATTTAGGCTTCATTAGGTCATTTTGCACTTGATTGCATCAAGTTATGTTTTGCTGTTTGGTAAGCCATGTTTACATGTCTTATTTGCTTAAGTAACTGCTTGAATGAACAAATAAAATCAGCAAAGAGAAATGTAAAAAAAATAATGATATAAGATAGGTTTAAAACTTATTATAAACATTAAATAGAGCTGTGCCATTAACTTGCATAAGCAATATAATCACTTGCCTTTGAACATTGATTAAATGATTGGTGTCACATAAAATAATCAATTAATTGAAATTACAGTTAAATAATATCACAAAAAAATCAAATGTTTCAGGTTATTACTGTTTTTGATTATTCTAGCAATCTAGTAATCAAAATTATGATTAACCCTATATGCAGAATTAAGTTTTCCTAAAGCTCTGAATTTACTATGTTTATCTTCACAAAAATTGGCCAGCTATAGTATGCATGAAAAACCTGTTGTACGCACACAAAAATTTTTTTTCAATGAAGTATATTTTACTAAAGAGTTGTGTGTAAATTTTTGAAGCTGGGTCAACCTGAATGCAAGGTGATTTGTAAGAGAATAGTGCAAGTTATGGTAAACAAACGAATAAAAAACTTTTCTCCAGGAGGAATGTATGCAAGCTGTTGATGAGCAATGTAATTCAATACTTTAAGATTTCTTTTCTAACATAATAAGTTTCTAATTTTTACATTTTATTACTTTTTTAACAACAGATAGAAGTATACGTCAAAAACAAGAAACTTAGTACTTACTGGTACTTTTCTTGCTCTTGAAGTCTAAATTAACAGTCAACACTAATTTTTGTTAGTTTTAGTATTTACTTTTTATTTCAAATATGTAATTTAGGAACCAAAATAGCACACAAATAATACATTATTCTATAACTTATAATTTAAGTGGCATTCAAAGTAAGCTCTAAGGGTTTAAATAATTCCCTTGATTGGTCTGCTGACTTGGTGATAGTAAAGAATGAAACTGTAGACCAAATAATTCCTAACCTGTCATTTTAATGAGCTAGGCTTATAAGGAATTCAGTAAGTTCAAATAGTTTTCTATTTGTTGTAAATAATCCAACAGCTAATGTCAGAGAGAGTTATGGACTTTTTTTTGAAGATGGGATGTGATTGAAGGGCATGGCTGTTTGGGTTTGATTTACTAGTTTATATCTCAGTAAAGCAAAAAGGTTGGAGGCTATGTCTTAGCAATATCTTTATTATAATTGTGTATTTCATGTTAAACCCAGGAGCTCATATAGGAGTAGAAAGAATATCTGAAATGAGCAATTCAGAGCAAAGTAGTGTCACATGATACATAGAAGTGAAGACTGAGAATTTATTTGAATATTTTCTTTTGAAATTAAAAAATCAAAATTATAATAATATAAATATGTGAATTATAAACTACACTTTAGAGAGAAATAATATACATTTATGATAAAGATGTTTAATTCAGTTTCAAATTTAACTGTAAAAGGTTGTGACATGCATGCTTTGTCCCCAACTTGTACACATTAGGTTAAATTGATTAATGTTATTAAAATAATCAACTATGCAAAATTAGTGTTTTCAGTTATTACTTCCAGTCTCACAATGGGCTGTCTGTGTTCTGTCCACTGCAGATGTCAAAACTGAAATTCTAGAGGTTTAAGTTGTTTTTTATTGCCATTTCGTGTATGAATGATTAATTAGTTGAATGTAGTTGACTGATGACCCAGATGGTTCATAAGTGAGCAAATTCCACTAATTGCCCATCACTGATATTAAATGATACTTTCTGATTAATAATTTAAAAAGCTTGCTTATGATTTTGGTATAGTAAAAAAGTTATTTTTATGGCACGACAGAGATCATAATCACAGTGATGTTGTTTGGGGCATTTTTCATTTGTAAATCTCCATTATGGGAGGGCCCTGCCAGGGCAATTAATCTATGGCTGCAGGTAGCAATGTCCAAAGTTTGTAGAGCTAGCAAACCTATGGCTTATGCCAAAGTTAGTATGTCAGATGCTTCATTTGATAAAGTATCTTTATCTATTCATCTAATGACATAAATGTAAGGCCAACCCCTGGAAGTGGTCAGCAATACTGGAAACTTCCAAATATCAGAAGAGTCAAAATCTTCTCACTAGTATCTCCTTTCATCTTCATAGTACAGGATACAAAGTCTTTATAGCAAGTAAGATAGGGACATTCGAATTGGCTAATTGTAAACAAAGATAGCCAGAATAGTTCAGAATTTTATCATAAATAGTGTAAGTCAAGATTGAAAAATATATATAGTGAAAAGGATAAAGCATGAGACTTGAGGATGCTTGTGTCAGCCAAACTATCAGCAATTGGTAAGGATCATGTTCAACATACAGGTTAAGCCTATAGAAATGAATCTTGACCACCAAAGTTTATTTCTGAATTTTGCACATTCTGTTCCTGAAGGAAGTTTTAAGACAAAGTATTCTTGTGATCAGGATGTTACAACTTTAACCTGCACTCTTGACTGAGGTTTTATAAAAACCAGAGTTCGGATCTGTAGCTTTGCTTTTGGGATTATCAAAGCCAAGAAGATGGTCCACATCTACCTTGGAACCCTACAACATTCTCTCCACTTCTGTTTTGCTGTTACAGAAAACAGAGCCATCTGGCAGGAAAGAAATAGGGGGTGAGACTGTAGAGTTGGGTAACCAAAATAGATCAAATGCCACAAAGTCATTAACATTTAAAGCCGTGGAGAGTGATTAACACCAACATTGTGCCTATTTTTAGACTTTATTCAGATATAAGATGAAAACAGAAATGATCTACAGGACAGTCTCACCCTAAAATTGTTACTTTTCATCTCAGGCATTATGTGTACAGTTTGCATTTTCAAGCATTTTAACTATCCTTGTACTGGAAAGTGTCAAGAAAATATTTAGAAACTGTGTTCTTTGAAATACTTCAGTCTGCATGATCAAAATTATTTTGACACAACCAAATAAATCATTTGATACCAAAGTTTATAATTGTTATGTCACTTTTATTTGTTTGTGAATCTTACCTTCCACAGATAATTTTCTCTTACTGACTCACATTTCAGTATGAACTATTTGGAATATATCGTCCTCTAGTTGTGAAACACAAATCCAGTATTGTTTTTCTGCAAGTCTACCCATTATTCGTAACTCTACACAAAATTCATTACCTGCCAAATGCTTCAACGTTGAAACTAAAACAGTCTCACATTAATGAATCATCAAGACTGCTGTTTCTTCAGACAATTTTTCATAGGCTAGTAACCACAATTAATTTCATAACTTGAGATCTTTACATTAAATTATTGTACTCTCTCTTAATCCTCAGTTAGTTACTTGGAGTCAGTATGATCCTATGCAATTTTGTTAATTAATTGTTATGTGATAGATGACACTTTACTTAGCCCCACTCACAGTGTGTCTGTCCATTTGCAGTCTTTGGCAGTGTTTTGCAGTTGTAGGTTGTCAGGTTTTTATAGGGCCACAAATCTTTATAGTAGGTATCTGTGACGTGTTGGTGATAAATTTCAACAATAAATGGACAGCACTCAATCCACTTGTTTTAAAATAATATTCAAAACAAGTTAAACGTATATACAAAAATTCATTACACTATGGGTTATAACAGTTGTATCCAGGGCTTTAAGTAATAATATTTTTTGTCAAATATCCACACAGTCTGGTTCATTTACTTTAGAACCAAATTGACAAGATGAATAATTCTTCTGTTCTTTGTTATTACAATACAATCTGGGATTATTACACTTTAAAAGTTGCCACTATACACTTTTTATGGCTAAACTTACAAAGACAGTCTAGATCTATTTGCCTATATATTTCACTAACATACTTACTTGCACTAACTTGGAAAGTGCTCAAACCATCTGCCCTATTGAGATGGGATGTTCAGCAAGACTGCTATAGGTATCTTTATGGCATACAAATCTACTCAATTGTTTTGCATCTATTCACAGATGCCTCTCTCCATGGGTGAGGGTCGATCAGTAGGAGGCTTCCAGACAATAGTCTCGGCCGAGAGGTCTTACGTTATCAACATCTTGGAGCTTGTCAGGGTTTTAAGTATGATTGCTTGGATTCATTTACAGTAGGTGTCTCTGACTTGTTGGTGATAAATTTGTAGAATAAAAAGACAGCACACAATCCACTTGTTTTAAAATGATATCTTCAAAACAAGTCAAACATATGTACAAAACTTTTTTACATTTCACAGTTGTATCTAAAATTCTAAATAATTCCATTTTCTTATCAAAAGTCCACTCAGGCTGATTCAATTACTTCAGAATCCAATTGACAAGATAAACTATTTTTCTCTACTTTATTTTTTACTGAACAATCTGTGATAGATTCATATACATTACTCTGTTGGTTACTACAGTTGTATCTTGAACTTTAAATAACACGAGCCTGCAAACTTAAATTTCATAATTCAGCTAGAGATTTTGAAAATAATATTCATTTTTTTCTATCAAGTAAAGATTTCTTACAAATCGGGAAGAAAAAAAACTCTTACTTAGATCAAATTATTATTTCACTTACCACAATGAATATTTTTTTATTGTTATGTTTGTTATAAAAAATACAAACAAACTAAAGAAAAGGGAAGAACATTTATGTCAAACAAATATGCATATTTATTCATCTTGATGTTTTTTGTGTGAAATCTACAT